CCCCGCGTAAAATCACTCATACATATGACAATAAAAATGGAGATCACATGTAGGCCATTGTGGGGGTCGAGGGTTGCGACCTGAGGACTCTAGAAACTGAATACGACAAACCAATGAAGGGATAAAGTCAGGAAGAATAAAGATAAGAATGCGCCTCGTACAAGAATAAACTTATCTGCAAAAGTCATGGTGCCTAGCAATCATGGCCATGACTTGCTTACGTCACTCCCAATGCATGTGTGTATGTATTCCAGTCAATTTTACCCCTGAAGCAAAAGCTGAAGGCAAAGATTTCGCAGAAGAAGCTGTTACCTAAATTCTTAATTGTAATGCTACATTCGCCGGTCACGGTAGCCGAGCGGTCTAAGGCATGTACTGTCTTCGCTCGCTTGGAAATCGAGATCGTGGGTTCGAATCCCACTCAGGGCATGGATGTTTAGTTTGTGTGTGTGCGTTTTTCTGTGTTTGTGTACAGGTAGAGGCCTTGCGACGAGCTGATTACCCGCCCAAGGAGTCCTACCGTATGTGTATGATCTAGAAAAACCGAAGTGAACGGAGAAGTTCATGGAGGTAGGCCTAGGCCCACTGGGGCTGTAGTGCCAAGGAAAAAAAATGCTATATCCGTGTGTTAATTGTCATATGTAGGAAATGATCGAAGAGTTAATTCGTAATATTTTGCAAAGAAAATTAATAATACGAACAGCCATATCCGTTTGCTCCCTGGAAAACTGATCAAGGACTACACCGAGACAGGACATGCAAGTATGGGAAAGCACCCAGCAATACTCAGTGCGCAGGTGGGGGAAGGAAGGTGTTGTGTATTGCTTTCACACTGAGGCCGCTCGCGATGTGATCCGTTAAAGTTCTTTTGGGTTAGTTACGTTACATCTCTGGATTCTACGATCAGACAGTGAGGTTAATTTAGTTTCAAGTAAAATATTAATTAATTTATGTATATTTCTTCGGACCTGAATTTAAGAAGCCATTGAACTCTGGTAATGCTTGCTACCATTCAGTCCAGAACCTTTTGTCTTCTCATCTGCTCTCTAAAAACATAAAAATTAGAATATACGTAGAAAACTATAATTTTGCCTTTAGTTCTGTATGGGTGTGAAACTTGGTCTCTGACATTAAGGGAGGAACACAGACTGAGGGCGTTTGAGAACAGGGTGTTGAGGAGAATATTTGGACCGAAGAGAGATGAAGTGACGGGAGGTTGGAGAAAACTGCATAATGAGGAGCTTCATAACTTGTACTCTTCCCCAAGTATAATTAGAATGATCAAGTCAAGAGGTGGGCAGGGTATGTAGCATGAATGGGGAGAAGATGAATGTATATAGGATATTGATGGGAAAGCCAAAAGGAAAGAGACCACTAGGAAGGCCAAAACATATGTGGGCATTATCCTTATTGTTAAAGTACACGTCAATAATACTTTGATAATAAGAATAATGCCTCAATGCAACGGGATGCTAGAATATGAAATATAATAAAAATATAATAGTATGTGGGTAGATAATATTAAAATGGATCTTAGAGAGATATGATGGGGTGGCACGGACTGGATTGATCTGGTTCAGGATAGGGGACCAGTAGAGGGCTCTTGTGAAGACGGTAATGAACCTTTGGGTTCATACAATTTGGGGAAGTTCTTGAATAGCTGCACAACTGGCGTCTTCTCAAGAAGGGCTCAGCTCCATCAAGTTAGTTAATGGCCATATTTCAATTCCATATAAAGGAATACGTTCAAATGCTTTCCGCCGATACATGCCCCTCTATATTTTCAACGAGTTTCAGTGTTAACACTTCACATCATAGTGGTTACTATATATATCACGTGTTTTAATGTTAAATTGAAATGTTTCGCGTGATTCTTAGCATTAACCGCGAATAGTTCCCTAAAGAACATTAACCAATTGGTCTCTATAATAAGAGAAGCAACGTGTTTCCTGTGAGGTAGGAACCGAATCTTTACATTTTAGTTTGAAGAAACAGGGATAAAGAAACATAAAGGCATGCTAATATCTTGTCTGTATGAGTAACTATCAGCTTTTCAAGAAGGTCTCTGCTCCATTAACCTTCGAGTGATGTCCTGAATATATCTGTAGCCTTCTTTATGGGTCAAGAATTCTCCTATTCATATTGGGCAGCACTAAGTATGGTATTTGTCGACTTATTAAGATAAAACTGCATACTAACAAGCATATGGATGACTAATGTTTCCTTCAAGACTACAGTGATGTGCCTAACATTTGTTGTTGGAATACTGTCTGGCTGTTAGCCTTGACGACAATCTTCAGAGGATGGGCTCGGTACACACATTGCCAGAAGTTTCTAAAATCACCGCAGCTCGAGAAACTCGCGAGGAATATGTTGATGTCGCAAGTCCAAAAGAGAGCAAACAATGTCAGAGTTTCTGATTGGTGGGTGAATGAGTGAGTGAGTGTCTGCTTTTGAAGATATAAATTTATGTCCTGTTCCTGGTAAAATTCGTGTACGACAAATTCAGAAAATTCATGTCATTTTAGTTCAGAGTATTTTAATCAACATTAAAATCTTCTTGGATGTGACTTCGTGTAGTCTGGTAGATAAGTGTCAATGTTTCAGAGGAAACTACTGCTCAGTGCGCAGGACAAAGTTTTTCCGGTATGTTTTAACGATTTCCAGTATGTGTACAGACGCCTGTCATGTTTTGTCTGTCTGGCCAACCAAGCAGACGGACGCTAAGTGCACTGATGTTAATAATGTGACACCCGTGGATAATTCAACAGGAACTCCCTTCGTTCGATACATAACTCGCCCTGCTTTCTGACGTATTGCTTTACATTTATACACGTTATCGAAGGATGTGTCGAAGCAGACGTTAAATCCATCTCCCTCAGATAACACGCACAAATACGTACTCGATCGTAAGACGTCTTCTTTGTACAGTGCATTGCACTTTATACATGCATGTCAGTATTCAGTGAATATATTACGTATGTTACGTTCGTGCGGAGGATATGCCAGTGGTCTGGAGGTTATGTAACTTTTCTGGAGGATATGTCAGTGGTCTGGATGTTATGTACACGTAAGTTGTCTGGAGAGTATGTCAGTGGTCTGGAGGTTATGTAAGTTGTCTGGAGAGTATGCCAGTAGTCTGGAGGTTATGTAAGTTGTCTGGAGAGTATGTCAGTAGTCTGGAGGTTATGTAAGTTGTCTGCAGGATACGTCAGTCGTCTCGAGGTTATGTCAGTGGTCTGGAGCGTATGCCAGTTGTCTATAGCCTAAGTTGGCGGTCTCGAGGGACGTCAGGGCTTGAAATATGTGGGAGGTGAAGGGTTAAATCATCACGTACATCTCAACACTGAGCTGGAATCGTGATCACACCGTCGTAGCCCCATGAAGAGACTGCTCTCAGAAATGTGGGCGACGCCCTCTTGTTAGGCGGAACTTGCATAGTCAGCTGAGGGAGGGGGGGGGCACGTGTGACGCTGAGGAAGATGAGAAGGATACAGAGTGTAAAATAATTTACAGGGAAAGTGGAAGTTAAGGGAAACACCGGAGAGACACGCGATACTTGATCAATTATACGACTGTCTCGTTACGTTGCCAGAGGGAATTTCAATCTAATTTGATTCACGTAACTTCCGGCTAAGGCCTCATCAACTCTTTCAGAATTGAAGAAGGAAGTGTCGCTGCGCTTGGTCGAGCACTATGTTATGAAGACGTGTTGGGGTGGACAATGAAGCTCTGCGCATCCTTAACCTGGGCACTAGGTGGAGAGTTGTCAGCTTCTCGCTCCGGCCACTTTACTCGCGGAAAAAGAGCTCCAGATTTCACCTGGGAGGCTAAGTGGGCCCGGGAGCTAGCTTTGGTAATGCAGAAAAGACAGGTCTCTTTTGCCTCTGCCAGGAATCGAACCCAGATTCCTCATCATCCAGAATGTAGCCTGACTAGTATACCGACTGAGCTACCGTAGCAAAGAAGGAAAGGAAAGACAGAGAGACTGTAGGGTATTTTTTGCGGAAGAAACATTTTTTAGCTCTGAGATTTCCCGGGCAATGCCGCTCCTACTTCTGGTAAAGACAAGTTTGAAGAGAAGGTAAAGCGTTGGGAAGTGAATTGTTTTGGAGTTGTAAGGAAGATGAAATAAGCTGAGTACAGCACTCGTGCATAGAGAGGCAACATGGGAAGCGCTCAGATTCAAAGTAAAATTGAGGTGCCAATTAACTCGAGGAGAAGCATGCGAAATGTGGCCAGGGTAGCTCGCCACTTCCCCGTGGCGATCCCTGAGGGCGAGACGTACGCCTTGGCCCTGCTCCGCAGGTCTGTCCTGAGTGCAGATCAGACACCCCAGCAGTCGTCAGGAGGTTTAAGGGGGTGGGGGTGAATGAGATCGGGTGTTGGAGATGGATAGAAAGACGGACGGATGGACAGGCAGGCAGACAGACAGGCAGATGAATGGGTGGATGGATGGATAGAAAGATAGCCTGATATTTTTACTGTATAAATTTAATGTAGGAGAAACACTTAATGGCTATACATAACAAGAAGTTCTGGGAAGAAGTAATCGCTTACTTTCCTTTGATAAACGAAGCTCATAGAAAAGGAAAAACAATTAGGCGGAATACACAGACAGACGGACACTTTTATTTTTCAAAAGCGGGAAAGAAGGCTAAGGACAGGGTGGGAGTTTGTTGTTGGCAGCAAACAAGGTCGAGGCGTATGGCGACATCCCCACGCACGTAAAGCTCCCATGGTTCACAGTATCAGTCCAGACAGCCTGCACAATTCTGGACCGGCTCCAGTAACGAACCCAGATTCCCAGCTCTCAATCTCTTGACCCTGTGATGTGAGTTGCCCCCCCCCCATTAGCTGCTCACTCCCCTTCCCCCTCTTCTAAACTCGCAGTCGACTCCTCCTTCATCGAGGTAAATTTTCCCTTCGTATTATAAAAATGGGGTCAAAAATTATTGCTTTTACCATGTGTAAGGATGGTAAGTCCACACCCGGAATTCAGATAGGCTATATAAGTAACCTGATCAAGGTCCGTAAGGCCACATTAGTGAGGCGAGTTGAGTAGAGAGAGACCCACAGTCGCCATGAAGACAATCGTAAGTAATCCACGTTGAAGTTGATTTAGAAAAAAAAAAAGTTGAATTGTCAGTATATACGAGTATGGCCGTGAACGGTGATAACGAATCGTGCAATTTGAACAAACCAAAATATCTCGTTTAAATTTTGTGATACTTGTAATTTATACAAGTCATGTTCTTTAATTCTGAAATATCTGAAATTCGTTCATGTTAATTGTATTAATATTTGTATTGTTACTTCTCATTATTAAACATAATGGACGAACATTATAAAAGTATAAGTTAAAAAAGCAAAGTCCCTGTGAAAGTAAAGTAAAGTTGTCCCTGTGCTCAACGAATTAAGCATTATGTCATTAAGGCGTATGGGGGAGTGGATAAATAGATCCATATTTTCTTGACCTCGGCACTAGTTTGAGGTGAGTGGTCAGCTTCACGCCCCTGTTGCTTTACCCCCGGTACCCACTGGATAGGAGGTTGGGTGGGCCTCAGAACCGCTCTGGATGACATGGAAAAGTGAAAATTCTTGACCCTACCGGAACTCGAACTCTGACCCCTCGGTCGTCCAGCCCGAAGCCAGTCGCTATACCGACTGAGCTATCCCGGCTACAGTAAAGTTATCCCTGTACTTAACTAATTAAGCACTACGCCATGAAGACGTGTGGGGGAGCGGATGTATACATCGAAGTTCTCTTGATTTCGGCAAGTGACTAGACTGCCGTTGTAGCGGAAGCTACTAGAAATAGGGCATAATCTGCTGTACTGAGCCTGGACTGACAGAGGCCCTGTATGTATTTTATATACATTTATTATAATATTTAATATGTATAATGTAAATATCCTTTACATTATGATAAATGACTTACTACTGCAGACAATGACTCTGACAAAAGACAGACCGATCCTCTCGTCAGAGAGGGCACCCCACAATAATAAGACCTAAACTGTCAAGCGGTAACAAATATCTGGTCATGAGCCTTAGATTGGGATCGACACCAAGACTGACTGACTGACTGACTGACTGACCGTCAGTCGCATTGTGACTTTGACTTTGACTCTTTAAAGGGCTAATACGTTTGTCCACACTGTTCACAAAGTGGGCACCATCATTTGGACGCTTCGATCTTTATGTATGTTTAACCTGCCTAATTGTTTTCCGTCAGTTCTTGAAACAGTCGGCATTTATGTTCCTGCTCGGGATATAGGTAACTTATCTGAGTTTAAATTTTATTCTCTTGCTATATCAGTTTTTAAACCTGTTGATATTTTTAGTGAACTGCATTTGAACCTAATTATACTACTGGGCTATGCAGTCATGTATTTAAAATATATTTCTTCTTTATTTACTACTTGGTGTTTGTTTATATTTTCATGCTGACTCTGTAATTGGTCGTTAGCATATTAACAGACAAATAATTTAATTATATAATTAAACTAAATATTAATAATTTTTTCTCATATTATGAGACTGAGAAATGAAATACAATATAAAAATTATCGATTCTTAAACTGATTTCACAACTTTCTTAGAAAAAGGGTGTGAAAACACATGAGGAAACAATCGAAGTCTATTTTGAGGTAAAAATTTGAAACGTTACAGGAGAAATTTAGGGAAACTCGAAAAATTTTATTCAGGATACTAAATACGTGTAGAAGGGCGGAACTGAAAGGAACACGTTAAGTTTCTGTGTTCTTGGAAATGGACGGGTAGGCACACACACCATCCGCGGATCGCATGACGTCAGCAAGCCAGGCAGCATCAGTTGTCGCGCCCACAAGAAAACAAATTAAGTAAAGAAAGGCAAATTTGTCCCTGTGCTTAACTAATTAACTAATTAAGCACTACCATGGAGACGTATGGGGGTATGGACGTACAGATGCAAACCAATACGTACGTGTATAGTAACTAAGTACTCTCAGAACTTAAACCAAGAAGAAAAACAAATTAATATTATTTACAGTTTAATCAACAATAAAATTGACGGCAATGACCCCCAAGAGGCTTGGGCATCTGCTAATAATGTGCGTCGACTTTATTAATAATTCATTAATTTTAATCATTAATCATTTTAAATACAACAATAATTATAAATTTTAATATCCAATTTACACGCCAACAGATCTGTTCTATTGAATTATGTACATATCAGTTGTGAATTCCTAATGTATTGTATATATCGATTTTAGACGGGGGTACGCGGTAGCGTAGTTGGTTGAGGCACTATGCTACAAGCCGGAAGGTCCCGGGTTCGAATCCCCATGTGGTGGATTTTCCAGTTCACCTAATCCTTCCAGCAGCAATATGGCCCTGGGGTCGACTCAGACTCTAACAAAAATGAGTACCAGGAATATTCTTGGAAGTAAAGAACGGCCGGCGCGTAAGGCTGACAACCTCATCGCCATCTGTGAGCCGATTTTCTAGAGAAAATGTGGAAGCCTCAACCTCTCAGAACACTATGGGCCTCTACACCCTGTTACAGGGATAGCTTCACTTTACCTTTATCGATTTTAGGCTTGTGTTAAATAACTCAGATGCTGAAAATTGGAACATATGTCGCGTACTTAGTATATTCTGGGAACAAAATGTGCATTTTGTGACGGAAAACTTTAAACGTGTGTGTAGCGGTAAGGAAACTCAAATTTAAATCGGGTTACTTTTCATACGTCGATTCGAGAGCTTCCGAAATACAAGTTTGTCGCGGTGTAGAGCTACCCCTCCATGCAGCTCCAAAACGAAATATTCTGAGTTACCAACATGGCGGCGTTATGTATTTTTTTTATTGCTAGTGAGGTGGGACTAAGTCCCTTGTACTGCGGCCACTTCTGGCCTATTGTACCAGCCCCAGATCATAGGTGAGGGTGATTGTGGAGCAATTGGTGGAATGAAGATTGGTAGGGGAAACCGAAGTACTCGGAGAAAACCTGCCCCAGCGCCACTTTGTCCACCACAAATCCCACTTGACCAGACCCGGGATCGAGCACGGGCCGCCGCGGTGGGAAGCCAGCGACTAACCGCTTGAGCTCTGGCGCGGCGTTACGTAACCTAACGTCCACACAACTAATGGCTCCTGGAGAAAGGTATATTTGCTTCGCATGACGTCACATTCAGTTTTCCATTTTATGTTGGAATGCTTCCAACTTAACTAAAACCTTGCTAATATTCAGGGTGTGAGATGTCTCCTGGTACTTAGACATGCCAAGCGGTAAGCAAACAGCACTCACATTTATTTGGGATTAGAATTTCATATTTATACGGCTGTGAAAACTCTTCACAGTGAGGTTCTTCCGGCTTGTTGCATGAGTACCGACGTTTCGAAGGAACACATTGCTCCGCAAAGATAAATTTATTTAAGCGATCTATCTATCTATCTATCTATCTATCTCTATGGCTCTACAGCCCTTTGTTGGGACTTGGCCGCTTTTCAAGTTCTTAATCCTACACACAGTCGGTAGGACTCCTTGGATGGGGGATCAGCCGGTAGCAAGGCCAATGCTTGATATGTATGCCTCGAGTGCGATTCGAACCCACGGGCTCAGCATTGGAGCGAGCGGAGACGGTTCACGCCTCAGAGCGCGCGGCCACTCGCATCGGCAATCACACGACATCATGTTTCACAAGAATTAATTTTTACAGCAAGGAAGTAAAATATTTAGATTAATCTTGTAATTCCTGGAGGTGCCGATTTATTTTATTGGTGATACTGTAAGTCGGACCGTCTCTGTGGTCTAGTGGCCAGAGTTCCTGGCTACAGATCCAGGGATCCGGGTTAGATTCCCGGCGCTACCAGATTTTCTCAGAAGTAGCGGGTCTGGAACGGGGTCCACTCAGCCTCGTGAGGATAATTGAGGAGCTATTTCAAGGAAATAGCTGCTCCGGTCTAAAAAAAACGAGATTAACAGCCGTGGGGATCCGTTGCGCTGACCACGCGACACCCTCTATCCGCTAAAGTTGCCACTAACTTCACCGACAAGCGACGGTCGCTCGGTCGGTATAGTCCGCTTGCGGACTACAGGCCACGGATTGCCGAGGTTACATGGCACTCTATCTCTCATTTGTCGCTTGCAGCGCAACAGAGGGCTGTGCTAGGCGAAGAGGCCACCCGCTCTGACTTGAGGTCGCTCATGTTGACGCGTCACACGGCTTGGAGGTCAGGAGATCGAAGTAAGCGGCACACCTCATAACAGGACAGGGCTTCATGAAGACCGGGAATCGACTGTTCGCGTGTAGGGCTGCTGTCCTCACGCGTGTCTCGCATAGATCCTGTCAGTCCCACGATTAATGTAGGGTGTCCGGATGAAAGGTATCCAAAATAAAATCATTATACATCAGAGAGAATTTATTATACACATTAATGGGTCACACCATTACAAAGGAAAACTATCAAAGTTTTTTTTCTGCCTTTATAACTTCCTCAATAAATTTCAGTGTAGTCCCTTTTGTGGCACGTCAAATATCCAGATGATATCCGACCTCGTTCCACGTTGCTTGAAGCATGTTTGGTGTTACCGTAGTCACAACGTCCCTTATGCGAGTTTCATGTGTTGAAGGTCGTTGAACTGAACCTGGCAGACAATGTTCTTCATATAACCCCACAAGAAAAAATCCACTGAGGTTAAGTCTGGCGACCTAGGAGGCCAAGCGATTGGTCCATCTCTTCCTATCCATCTCCTAGCCATTTCTCTGTCCACGTGATTCCTAACATGATGGCAGAAATGTGGAGGCGCTTGCGCGTGAGCCGGGAGTGAAAAAAAAACTTTCACAGTTTGCCTTTCGATGACATAAACCGGATACGTGTATGATAATTAGTTTCCGAGCTATAATTTTTTATTTTGGATACATTTCATCCGGACACCTGGTATTACCGTTTTCTGGGATGAGATACCGTCCAGCCTGAGGCATCAGTATTCCAGGAATAACTTTGCTGCCTCTATCTTCAGGATAGAAAAATATTCTTCTGGCACTTCTAGATACTCACTCAAAGCAACTGCCCGGCATAACAGCGGCCGTCGTTATAATATTTTGAAACTGCCAACTCTTTGAAGTACAGCATACAATATGGAGTCAATGCTAACATTTCTGTTTCAGATTGTGGTAACACTGACGCTACTGGCAGCAGTAAGTGCAGCCCCTCAATACAGGGGACAACCTCAAGGACAGTACAGCACCCCCATCCCAATCATTAGCCAGTATTCAGTCATCAACCCTGATGGATCATATCAATACAGGTAATACACGCATCTGGGGTATATTTTGCGCAGTTTTATACATATATATTGCATTTAATTAATTTTATTGAATCGTAAAATATAATTTAATAGATTATTTCGTGTCTTCTTCGTTATTGCTTGCCGAGCCGTTGCAAAGCAATGGATGTCTCCTTTGACTTCACTATTCCGGTCTTTAGGCATTATTTCACATTATGCTATTACATTTTGTTAGAGAGAGAGTCCCCCATACGCCTTCATGTAGCAGTACTTAATTAGTTAAGCACAACGACAAATTTACCTTTATAGAGGGACTAGTTCGACTGAGCCTGGGATCGGAACTAGGCAAAGTCCCCAGTCCATGCAGATGATGATACCCACTTTCCTTATTTAAATACAAATAAAAGTAAGCTTATGAGATCACCATGCTGTCTGTGTGTCTGTGTACCCGACCCTGTTAACTCTCGAATACCTGAACCAATCTTCATGACACTTGGTATGTATGTCATGGCAACTGTGCCCATCTCAACGGCTACTTCATAAATCCCTCCCATCAGTCTGTGTGTCTGCATGTGTAATCCTCCTACAGTTGCTAGGCAACGTCTCCGTAGAAAAGTTACACCAGCTAGAAATACAAACAAGAACAAAAGAATTATTGGAAGCGTGGTTTTCTATGCGGTCCTTGTAGTGATTACTTCTTCTCAGAACTTCTTATTATAATTTGTATGCTTCCTCTAGAACATCGCATGGCAGTGCGGTTGTGCTGTAAATATGAAGTTAATTTAATTTCATATTTTTATAGATATTCTGAGAAGTTACTTATGAAATGTTGTAACTGGAATGAAGCAGAAAATTGAACGAATATTCTTAGAGAATTCTGAGATATGGGAACTCGCACTTTAGTGCAGTTTAAGAAAAGCAATTATTCAGCCGTGCTTATGTTATGCAAGATCTGCTTTAACGTGATAACCCTCAACATTTTGCCCACAGGGTGCATTTACACAGTCCGTATGACAATGTTTGGCATTTGTGTATATAAACACTAATATCTCTCCCAAATTTCAGTAAGGACGAAGTTATTGGGCTATAACATTGGGTGAGTAATGACTGACAGCAGAAAACCCAAATTCTGCGATAAACATGTCCTATTTCAAGTCTATATATCGAGCCAGAAAAACAAGATGGCCGCGTAAAGTACAAATATGATAAGTCTGAAGAAAGCAGTCTTCTGGGATTTGGCACCGTGTATATGTGGAGTTAACCGACGTTTCGGAGGAACGTATCGCCTCCATCTTCAGGGTAGAAGAAAAATAAGAACTCTGCAAGCGAAGAGACCGTGAGAACCGGTAAAAGCAGACTGTCACAGTCTGCTGTTACGTTGCTGTTGCGATACGTTCCTCCGAAACGTCGGTTAACTCCACATATACACGGTGCCAAATCCCAGAAGACTGCTTTCTTCATAGTGACCGCCGTGAAAGCCTCAAATCTTACATGATAAGTCTGCCTATTCTGCAAGAGTTGCTCTGAGACTGGGTGAAGGTAAGGTAAAGTTTCCCTGCACATAACTAACTGAGCACTACACCATGAAGGCGTATGGGGGAGTGGATGTACACATCCATATTTTCTTGACCTCGGCATTAGTGAGTGGTCAGCTTCACACCCCGACCGCTTAACCCCCGGTACCCATTGTATAGGGGTTTGGGTGGATCCAAGAGCCGGTCTGGAAAATATGGAGAAGTGAAAATTCTTGACCCTACTGGGACTCGAACTTCGACCTCTCGGTGCCCAGCCAGTAGCCAGTCGCTATACCGACTGCGCTATAAAAGCTCCCCGATGACTGCAGTAGTACATAAAAGTGACACTAGGTGGCAGAAATTACTTCACTGCTTATGCTGCAGAAACGCAGTTACCGAGATGGCAGACAGAGGGGAGGACTTACTGTCGAGCTGAAGGCAAACGAAAAGACGAAGAGATTATGTTCGTGAGTATTTCGGTAACCCGTGGGGGTTCCTGAAAAAAACAAGCGATACCTAGACACACCGGCAGTTTAGGATTCAACGCTACCATCGCGTCAATATATGTGGCCAAATGTATACGTCCCAAACCTAAGACTGTGTCCAGTTTCACAGAAAATTTCACAATATCGAGATGGATTGACTTGGTGGCTTAAAGAATATAACAGATTTTCGAGAAAGAGATACAAAAATTATGACAGATTATGTAAGTTACAAAATCATATATTACTGCCTACATTTAAATGTAGACATCCTCAGGCTTCAGCAAAATTACACATCATGTTTCAGAAAACAGGACTGTTCATTTTCCAGCCAGATGACCGAGACGACAACACTTCTGGTGTATTCTATAAGTCATCTGGTCGGATCTCTACTAATACACCAGCTACCATGAGGTTTTTCATCGTTTTTCTCAGTCTCTTCAGGCTGCAGGGGCAGTACCCTGAGAAGTTTCCGGAAGTCTTCACCCCAGTTCATCGAAAACGATTATTTCCTCATGCCAGTCGACGAATAGTGACCGCTGCATTTGATACAGGGGTGTTAAATGAGGAAATCTGGCTGCAGACACAAATAAAAAACACCGCCAGACTGGTCACACTACAGTTACTGTATCGAAAAGAAAAAAATCCTCAAGCCATTTTAGTATCAATATTACAACCAGTCACGGGTTCAAGTACCGATGAGGTCATTGGAATTTTTTCAATTGACCTAATTCTTCCAGCCGTACTAAGCCCTGGGGTTTACTCAGCCTCTAACAGAAATGAGTACCAGGAATTAATAAAATAATTTTCCTGGAGAGTAAAGCGCGGCCGGCGTGTAAGGCTGACAACCTTACCGCCATCTTTGAACCGATTGTCTAGATAATGTGGGACCCTCAACGTCTCACAACCCTATGGGCCTTCACGGCCTGGTACAGGGATAGCTTTACTTTTTTACTTCTTACAATATATACGTAAATTACGCTCCTTGCAGTTCAGCTATGGTTAACCTAAACATATTCATTTTCAATCATAACCATGTCTTGAGTGGGATTCGAAACCACGACACCAGCATTCGAGCGAGGGAAGACAGTTCATGCCTTAGATGGTGCGACCACTGCCATCACCACCCAAAACATATACTTAAGTTTAACTTTTCTTTTACCTTCCTATCATTCCCTTATTTTATATTCATATTTTAAATTTTTCTATCGGACTATGCATTAATTATCCAACTGAGTATTGTACCAAATATAATACTTATAAATAAGGGATCCATGTTCAACAAGATACATGGTATGACTATTCATTAATTCATCATCATCATCATCATCTGCAAGGGTTGAGTCTGTTACCCAGTTCTGTCCTCAAACGTGAAGCATCCTTGATGATTATGAATAACTCCTTTTAATAGAGCAGGTTACCAACCTTGGAGGACCAGGGGTTTCTTGCTTTTACCAGGTTAGCTAGTGTGGCTAACGAGTCCTGTCTACCTGCCACTTACCCCGGGGAAGGAGCCCTTACCGGGTGCCACCCACTGGGCCAGCGAGACTTGGGCCTCTCATAAGGGAGAGTCGCCACTCCCTGTAGTTGGGGTGTCTCTTGTGAGAGTTCCAACTTGGTACTTCCTCATTAACTACCTTAAGTAGTGTACCACGTGAGAATAATCAGACAGTAAGGTCGAAAGATGTAGTGAATTAAGTCCTAGATATTTGTGTTGATGGTGCAGAATGCAAGTTATATCAGCCTGCGGTCCGTCCGTCTCGCCAAGACCGTGGAAAGACTTGAGGCCAAACGGCAGAGACGCCAGTCCGTGCTATTCGTTTATTTTGGGTTTCGCGAAGGGGAACCTGTGCTCAAGGAAACCTGGTTCATTAACGTAACTATGAGTCGTGACACTGCAAGTGTGAGGCTCACGACATCGGAAGACCTATGCAGTAAAACCAGCACGAACACCAGCGGTCGCCTTGACGAGGTCATAAGGAGATACCTAGATCATACTAAACAAGAGGAGTATTGCCTTCTGGGAAATAGCCGAAGATTGAGCCAAGGAAAAACTATCAAGAAGCAGGATGCAGTTTGATTATTTCTTGGTTTACTATTTGACCCTGAAGACGGAGGCGGTACGGTTCCTCTAAAATTCCTGTAGACTTCTACCGGACTACACGGCGTTACATCTCAGAGGACACGCTGTGAGATCCTCAGCTCAAACTCAGTGAACAAGCTCTGCAGTTCAATATTTCTACGCCTTGTGACGAACTTGTCAGTCTCAGGAGCGTTGATGATTGGTGAATAATGGATTGCAAAAGTGTAGAAGGAAGAGGTCATGGTCTGTTAGGGTATTATCCTGAGGACTCTGCATTGCCAAGAAAGACCTTGGTCAGGATAGCAAGTATCCCGATATAGAATCGAACAGAGCACTTCCCATATACAAATCCTACTCAGTCTGTGCTTATAGTCTAACAAATGTAGATTTTGCATAACATATGAATGGCTGAAAAATCTGGGCCCTATGTCTAAGGCTAGTTTCTTCTGTCGTTCTGTCGGTAGCAAGTAGTTACGAACGGAGCAGAAGGTGGCAGTAGTTGATGGCATGCTTGACCTCGTATTACGCTCTCCAACATTTCCGATAAAAATTCCCGCAAACAGCAGTATTTTTCGCTATATATTTTTATTCTCCCAAATTTAGTGGCTTAGTATAAATATAGCTGTATTTCCAGAAATGTTCACGTTATTGGGTGTAGGTAGTTTCGACAGAGCTTGTTTATAATAATCTGTGTTCAAATATCAAAAGAGTTCATGCTAGTAAGTCAATTAGAACTGTAGCTATCCGATCCAAATTTGGAGCCCCTAACTGCACCCACTGCATCCGCTCTTTGCCCCAGTCCTTGCTAGCTCTCCCCTCCAACACTGACCGTCTTTCCCGCGTGGCTTACTCTTCTACCATGAAGAAGTAAGTAGCAGGTTTCTCCAAAACGTCGACAAATTCGTACTATACTACACGCTGTCATATACCGGAAGATAGTGATTTTAGTCACATCCACGAGAGCCGATGGTAATGGCCTTGAAGCCTGAGGCACGAAATATCTTCTCCTCCTCGAATAATGAGATCGTGGGTTCGAGTCCCACTAGAGGCATGCATGTATGTCAATGTCCTTTCTGTGTTTGTGTTGACCTGTGTAGATAACGACCTTATGATGGGCTGTTCACTCGTCCAAGGTGTTGCACCCGTTGTCTGCAAGATTAACAGTTTCCATTTAATTCTGAAAGAGAAAGAAGGAGATTATGACCTCCATGTAAACCTCAGATCTCACTGACCAAACCTGTCCATCGCAGATTCAAACTCTCAAGAGTCCTAGGTCTTCCATTTAACGTCTTATCATCTCAAGTTCACAATTGTCTTTGCAGTTATGAAACTGGTAACGGCATCTCTGCTCGAGAAGAAGGCTTCCTCAAGAACGCAGGCAATCCTGAGACAGAGGCTCAGGTCGCGCAAGGTCAGTTCTCCTACACGGGGGATGACGGGATCCCCATCAGTCTGACGTACACGGCAGATGAGAATGGCTTCGTGGCACAAGGGGCTCACCTGCCCACACCGCCTCCAATCCCCCCCGCGATCCAGCGCGCCCTGGATTTCCTGGCAAGACAGCCTCAGCTACAACCTCAGCCAGACTTCAGTCAAAGCAGGAGACCGAACTACGGACGGAAATGAGACCCAACACCCGGAACTCGGGTCACTGTCTAATTTAATTTGTAACTTCGAATATGTCTAATTTTTTCATGATTCCAGCCCATGATAATTCGGCATAAGCCCGAACATAAGGCGAATTATTTACTGCTTCATAGTATTATGTCGCCTTATTTTCAGGCTTTTAAGAATAAATACGAAAATGATTATGATGATTTATATATTGTAATTGCTTATTCTAACGATAATTGTGAAAATATATAGAATTATATTTAAGGTATTAAATTTTGGATTTATTATTTTCTTTACAAACCTCAGAACTGAATGATACGATCAATTTTGTTAAAAAAATATGTTCTCATTGGCAAAATAGGAGATCACCCTGTATTCGAATTCATTGGGTGCACGTCGAGTGATATAAGTTTGTACCATGCAGTCGAAAAAATATTCTTATATTTCTTCGAAATACAACCACAGACTTTGAAATATATGCACATTAACTAAACCTTCCCAGGTTCGTGACACGACACTACTTTCCCTGTGAAATCCGTTGTATTCCACGCCTGTATGCTTCCTCACAGTTTAACTAATGACGCTGCCAGCAATCCAGACCACATGGCAACGAATGATGGAACGATAAATGATAATGAATTGAATATGATTTGGATGGAGCCGGTAGTAGTCTATATCCTGGAAGTTGTCTCAAGGAACTGAGAAATATCATTCAAATCTTTAGGCGTGAAACTTGCTGTCCTAGCCAAGGTCCAAATCTGACAATCGACAACAGGAACTAGAAATATTACCGCTTGAGACAACTTGTCTGGTCTGTTAGTTTTAACAGTTTTCCATAGATGGCTTAAAGCGTAAAATATTTCCTTGTAACAGGCCGCGGAGGCCCATAGGATTGTGAGACGTCGAGGCTCCCACATTTTGTAGACCAGTGCTTCTCAACCTTTTTCCGACCGCGGCCCAGTAAATTTTTTTTTCACTAAGGCGAGGGCTGGTATAATTAATATCAGGGCCCGGCGATTGTGGAACACTGCTCTAGACAGCCGGCTCACAGATGGCGGTGAGGTCAGCCTTACACGCCGGCTGTCCTTTACCCCCCAGGAAGATTCCTAGTACTCATTTCTGTTAGAGGCTGAGTCGGCCCCAGGGCCATAGTGTGGCTAGAAGGATTAGGTAAATTGAAAAATCCAGTGACCTCAAAGGGAATCAAAGCTGCGCCTTCCGGCTTGTAAATAGCATAGTACCACAACTATGTTACCGCGTGCTCCCAGTGAAGAACGGTAGGCTAATAAACTAATTCCCACCTAAACGAAATAATTAGCAAACATTAATTTGCATATGGGTATTTGTGGATTAGAATAAGTTTCGTGTTCATGTATCAGTAAGTAAGACGGCCGGGGCATGAAGCTGACTACTGACCTCTGTTAAGAATACGTAAGGCTATGTATGTCTACATGACCGCGACCTTACATAAGTGCAGACACAGCTTTATCTTTGCTAAAAGCTACCACAATATTGACAACAAAGTTTCGACTTAAACTACAAGAATTGTGAAGTGCGAAATTAATACTGTGGCGTGTACAGCCGTTACTGTGCGACGGCCGCGAGAGAGGCAAATATACCAGACCCGTTTCTAGGCAACGGCTCGGTGAACACGCTACCAAAGCGAAGTATCGACGTGCAACAATAGAGGTACTGTTGCAAACGGGGGTTTCTACTCGGTCCGTGCAAAGGTTAATAATTGGATTAACAACTCAACATAGAAATTTGACAAAAACAGACCAGTCCTCTCGCCAGAGAGGGCGCCCCACAAAAAGAAGACCGAAACTGTCAAACAGTTATAAATATTTGGTCATAAGCCCCAGATTGGGTTCGACACCAAGACTGAGTGACTGACTGACTGACCGTCAGTCGTAATGTGACTATGACTTTGACTAACACGGAAAATGTATGCAGGCTCCGAACAGAAATATAAAAATAATAATTGACTTCAATCCATTTTTAGAGTGTTTGCCGCTAACCGCTCTGGCCTATCACAGGCAGACAACAAACTAATAATAAATACATGGAAACAGAAAATAAAAATCGAAAAAAAGAATGTAATTTAATCGGAATTATAAAAGGAAATATATACATCGTCCAGAGAAGCCGCGGTCTTGTGCTGCTTCTTGAGAAATTGGTTTAAACCAGCGCTGTAGTTTATACGCAGCCCGTCACCATGTGTGTATTTTCTCAAGAATCACTTGATGATGGCCTATCTGGGTGGAAATGTGTTGGGAATTGATAAAAAGGCTTTGTCACACTAACGCCGGAAGTCATCCACTGGATAATATGCTGTTCTTTTGTCTCGAAAAGCATAAGACTCGCAAAATTTATTAAGCATAAAGTAAGTATTTTATTTTCCTCTACAACTTCTCCTCAGAATGTTTCGAGACGTGTGCAGAAACACGCGCAGGTCTTCATTCAGAGCGACAGTTATTCTAGTCCAATTTTAACCAGAATGAGAGTGTGTCAACAAGACTTAACTAAAACTCCCCATTATCGGATTTCACAAAAGCTGTGAAGCGAATCACGAATTAGATCCTAAAGGGTTCTGACGACGGTGTATAACTCTCAGAATTAAGGATTTGGGGGCTTTGTCCATCGCCCGGTGCTCTAGAAACTAGAAAACACAACGTCCAGGAAACTGGGTCTGTTTCCGTTCTCAGGTTGGGGGGTAAAGTAAAGCTGCCCCTTTACCAGGCCGTGAAGGCCCATAGGGTTGTGAGACGTTGAGGCTCCCACATTATCTAGACAATCGGCTCAAAGATGGCGGTAAGGTCAGCCTTACGTGCCGGCCGCGCTTTGACCCCAGGAAAATGATTTAATTAATTCCTGGTACTCATTTCTGTTAGAGGCTGAGTGAACCCCAGGGCCATAGTGCGGCTGGAAGGATTAGGTCAATTGAAAAAATCCACACACCACATTCAAACAAAACACAGCACACAAAACTATACACTCAATAAAGAACACACTACACAAAATGAATGCAATACAAATACGATTACAACTACAACAAATGCAATTGCAACTATAACTGCAACTACAAAATACAATTACAACTGTGTACTTCGCAGCTTTTCACTGCGAACATGTCAAACAACTTATTCTAGATTAAGTTATTTGATATGTTCGCATTTTGCTCTTTATGATAAGACCTGTATCATAAAGAACGAGATGTTCTAAATAACACAGCTCTTGAAAACTGATATATCCCCAGAGAGTTGCATGATCGACCGTGAATCGATTACTATCGAGACACGTGTCGATATGGGTTGAAATCAAACAAATACTTGTATAGGCTAACTGCATTCTTGTTAACCATTAGTCGAACATTCATTCCATTCGCCGAGTGAGTCTCGTGGTCTTAACCATCCCCGCGTTTTACCGTTACACGAATAGGTCTCGTGTTTAATGTCAAGGCGTAATTCCGCGCAAGAGCGTCCCATATTCATCTAACGGTTCCTTTCCAATGGCGAAAAGAGTCACGTGCTATTGTTTGCAAGTAGGTCCCATGGAATTTTAAAGATGCTATATCACCCGTTAAAATTATATAATTGCGAACACTGGTAAGAGAATTCTTCTTCTTTCCCCGAATTAGGTCCAAACCCGTTCTGATATATCAAATTTTGATTATATAGAAATGAAGACAGACATAATCAGGTGCGTTAATAATTACTATATACTAATCGCTTATTCTTCCATTTACCGGAAAAAAATATTTTATTAATTTATATGTCTTAGTCCTTAATTCAGTCCACGAACAACCACTTCTACTTTTCCTTTAGCAGAAGCCCGGTTTTCCCGCGCAACTTAATTTTCTACCTTGAACATGGGGCAGGAGGTTGCTCGAAAACGTTAGTAACTTTCTACCAATCTACACGGTGCCACATACTAGAAGGCGAATATTGGATAAATACTGTCCACTGACTTAAGTATATATGACAGATGATATTTCGAAAGCTGGACATGTTTCCTTCATCAGGTGTTAAAGAAGGAAAGGTTCAGACTCAGTAGAACCCATTAAAATGAGCCAGCGTTGATCACCGGACACCGAGAGAAAGTTTTACGCACAGGCCCCAGATTCTAAAGATTTGTAAAATGAAGAATTCAGTAAACGGAAAAAGTCTAACACAATCCTTCTACGTGTAGAGCCCATCCTGGATAATCCGAACCAATAGAGCACTGACGTGTTAGGACTGCCGAATCGTTCAAGTTACTGGATTCCGAATAAAAATTCGAGTCTTCTTTTTGTAAAACTATTTATTCAAAAGACCGTTGAACTACTAAGTAAAATTAAAATTAAAATTAAAATTCGCTTAGTGAGGGGTGGAGTCCAGCTGGGTCCACTCGGCACGGCGGCCACTGATTGGCCTATTGTAGCCTGCCCCGGGTGATTATGACGATGGAGAATTTGGTGGAATGAAGATTGGCAGGGGTAACCGAAATACTCGGAGAAAACCCGCCCCAGTGCCATTTTGTCCACCACAAATCCCACTTGACCAGACACGGGATCGAACCCGGGCCGCCGCGGTGGGAAGCCAGCGACTAAGCGCTTGAGCTATGGCGCGGCCTGAACTACTAAGTAACTAACACCATGGAGCTGAGCCCTTCTTGAGTAGCCACCAATTGCTGAAATACTCAAGAACTTTCCAGGATCACAGTTCCGGTCGTGCTCCCTTAAATCCGGCCCTGACTTGAATCAGGATAGATTGCATCCTTGTAGGGTTCCATACTCGATCCCTTAAGAACAGGAATCAGGCTTAAAAAGGTACAGCTATCCCTGTAACAGGGTTGTGAGAGGCTCCCACATTTTCTAGACAATCTGCTCCCAGATGGCGGTGACGTTGTCAGCCCTACACGCCGGCTGGCTGCCCTTTACCCCAAGAAAGATTCTTAGTACTCATTTCTGTTAGAGACTGAGTCGACCCCACTCACCTCCAGCTAATGCCGAGGTCAAGAAAATGCGGATCTATACATCCACTCCACCATACGCCTTCATGGCGTAGTGCTTAATTAGTTACGCACAGGCACAGCTTTACTTTAATTAAGGGAAGAACACAGACTGAGGGTGTATCAGAACAAAGTGTTACAGATCAGATTGGGGTCAAAGACAGAGGAAGAGCGGAGGGGGGAGAATCTTTATAATTTGTACTCTCCACTAAACGCTGTTAAGATGATGAAGTCAATGAGAATGAGATTAGATGGGCATGTAGCAAGAATGGATCACGTGAGGT